GGTTCACGCATCGAATGAATTTGAATCGAATTATGAAACAGAATACACACCATAGTGGAACAGTGGCCTGTGTTCTAGCCTGGTGGTTCGTTGTTGTTTTGGTAATGACACGGGCGCGATATATTTGCGTAGCCTCGTCGCGTCTTTTAGCCCCGCCGAGGGTCCGGCGACAATGACGAAAAACCGGTCGGTTTGAAAATGTCGCCGGGCGAAAACATATAAATAGACACGGACTTTCCTATCAAAGAGAGTACCTACCCAGGAGACGTAGAGGGAGTTATTACGTGAGTTATATACGATGTAGAGAGTTAGAGAGGAGTGTCGCCAGGCGGGTTCCAATATGGACGAAACCTCGGCTGACGTATGTAGTACGTATGTATATATTTTGTATGTGTTACTAATAAAGTATTAAGTTCAACAACGATTCTGCGACTACGTCTACTAGCTCTATTAGTGGTTACGAAACAACGCTGCGCTACTCTACGTTGCTACAATCTGCTACTTGCTGACGAAACAACGCTGCTAAGTGTACCAACCATAAAACCATAAAACGAACGTAATAAATGATAGAATAAACTTATGACTGCAGCTGGATCCTACACGCCTATCCCATTTCTTGAGTTTTCCAAATGAACACCCTCGTTAGCAAGCTATTCCAACAGAGTCCCAGCATTTCACCTCCTTCCTGCTAGTAATTGCACCAGGCTACGACTCTGATACGGAATCTGAACTGATTCACTAAAGGGTGCATTCAACAGTTAAGCCTCCGCAAATTGCTTACTATTTGGTCCCTAGAAAATGCTTTCTTTTTGCACTAGAGTGTACAAATTTTTATTATGCACGCAAGTTAGATGCCTCGTGGACGTCTGGAAGGTATTAGAAGTTCGATTGGTCTTGTCGCGTAATTGTGGCTTGCCGTCAAATGGCGTATCCATGGTGACCGGTCGGCCATTTTTGTGTTTGAAACGGGATCCACCTCCTTTGTAAAAATGCGCATCATTTAGCTGGCAAAAGTTTCGAGCGGAGTATAGAGCTGGAATCTCTGGTTATTTAACATGAACAAAGTGTGTGTTGGGTATGCGACGAAACAATGTGGGTATTTCTAATTAATTTCTGTTTGATGCTCATTCAGGCCTGCTGCCTGCATGTGGACGCTACTGTTGTACAACACCTAGACAGGTGGTTGCTAGCACGCGCTCCGCCGAACCTGCGAGCCCCAGCACCCAATGTTAGTAGCAGTGGTAAACATTGCTAAGTAATGACATCGGCTCAATCTCTCTTCATCAATGAGGTTTCGCAGAACTCATTAAATCTGGCCTGCTATATTAAATAGCGCTGACCCGATTCCTGCGGCACCCGCCGGATAGAACTCGCCGAAACATTCCACGCACGCACGCACGCACAATCCCACGTACGCACACACACACGCACGCACTCACACGCCGGCAATTGATTGTTATCAGATGATTGAAGTTATGTACGCGTACATCGCTTATAAAACTAGTCCGTTTCGGTAACGCACAAACACACGCGAGCGCACATACGCGCGCACTCAAGCATGCACGCACGCGAACACACGAATCGCATTCCTACATAACACTCGCTTCGAGCCATCTTTCCCTGAGATGCCAAACAATCGGGCCTACCGACAATACAATAACACGATAACCAAAAACACCATTTAATCGTCCAAACCATTTTTTATTTTACCAAAAAATATATAGAGAACAATGAACAACTCTCCCATTTCGTGTTGGGTCGTCAGGTAACGGATTCGTATTGCATGTATTCACGACTATCGCTATAACTATACGGGTTGCTGATACCGGTGGGGTGGGCGGTGGGCGAGGGGAAGGTGGGTTCGTGCAACCTGTTGTCTATCACCTGTTCAATGCGAATCAATCAATTCCTGCAAGAGAAACTTTCTACGCCGCAATTATTTTTTTCTCACGATATGTACGTTGTTGCTTATGTTTCTATGATGTCATCCTGCACAGGTAACACTACTGTGAGCCTCAGGTTGTTAGTGCAGGAGGATACCCCCAACGCCCACGTACTCACCTGGAAACAACATGATCGGATACGTAACTGCTAGTAACGCTGAAGGGATCGTTGTCGTATATGTAGTAACCGAGGTGTCGGCGAGTATGTTGCCTACGCCTACTCCCTAACCCTAACCCTAACCGAGGTGTCGGCGAGTATGTTGCCTACGCCTACTCCCTAACCCTAACCCTAACCATATCATATAGTTACCTCGGGTACATATTTGTACTACCTATACGACAACGACCCTTCGTGTGCCTAGTAACTAAGGACGCCTATTTTCCAACTGCGTGTTAGACTGTCTCCGCAAGTCACGGAGAATCAGCCTTGATAACAGCTACAGCAACCTAGAGAGACAGTCTAGCCCGTGTTAGACTGCCTCCGTAAGTCCCCTGAAGAATCAGCGTTATACACCACAGCGACCTAAGGGCGGGTCAGTTTAACCCCGTGTTAGACTGCGACCGCCCGCTGCCCAAACCGCCTCCTGATCGGCAACGAATAAATTAACGCGCTAGTCAATGTGCCGCGTATCTAACGAGGCGACCACCGCAGTGAAACACATCACGACAAACATCGCGCCCAACCCCGACACACGAGAGTGGCGAGTTACTCATGCGACCAGGACATCCCACATCAACCTATCAACCCCGAGATAACAACGCTCCCTCCTATTGTTGCTAGGTTCGTCAAGCTAGATCAATTATACATGTTTTATATCCCAACTTGTAGACTTTTGGACCACTTTGTTGCTGAGGCATTGGTCGCTTTAGAACTTTAGAACGTCGTATCCCAACAATGACTGGCTTGACCTGAATGTCAATAATGCTACAGGCAGACGGCGTCGATTTATGACCTGAAATCGATCTCATCTGACAACTTACAACTGCAGTCAAAACGTTTGATTTGCACTCCTTTGGGTAGACCTGGTACGGGATGCTTATGGAGTCATGTACTTATTTTACTTGTGTGCCCTATAAGAATATTATGTAATCAGCAGCATTCCACTGTTGTCACTGTGCCACCATGAATTCATTGCCAGCACTGCTGCTGCTGCTGGCTGCTGCCCACTGGTCACTCTAGTTCTCACGTCCAGTGCCATTACCGAGCACTTGCGCGTCTAACCGGAAATGACGCCACCATCTACACGAGAGAATCCAGTCTCTCCGAATTCCCTTTTTATTTATTTATCTTCTACCTCACGAAGCAACGTGACGTCCCTGCACTGGAAGCGGTAGCGTGACAAAGCAGTACACAGCAAGCACAAGTGTCGAGTGACACACCTCCCTTCAAGCTCACGCTCACGCTGCTCACTCAGCAAAACACAGCAGCAGCCGATATTTAATTAACGCGTGGGTTCACTAGATGATCATACGATCGCGTGACGTCACAAGCAGCAGCCAGCAGCAACGACGAGTTGTTTACGAAAAGGGTTTGCCTGAAGACACACAGCAAGTGCTGCACGTCAACGTGCGTCATCACTCATACACGAAACGTACGCTCGTGGTTTCCCCGCCGCTGCTGCAGTTGCTTAATGAAATAATCGTCGACGAATGTCCTCAATGCTAAATAACAATGTTTTCCCACTGCGCGCGCCGCACGCACACACACGCCACGTGTGCGCAGCACACACACGCCACGTGTGCCACACGCACACACACCCACGTCTGCCGCACGCACACACACGCCACCGTGTGCACACGTACACACACGCCACGTGTGCACACGCACAACACACGCCACCGTGTGCGCACGCACCACACACGCCACGCGCCGCGAACACACACACACGCCACGTAGTGCACACGCACACACACGCCACGCGCGCGAACACACACACACGCCACGTTGCGCACGCACACACACGCCACGCGCGCGAACACACACACACGCCACGTGTGCGCACGCACACACACGCCACGCGCGCGAACACACACACACGCCACGTGTGCGCACGCACACACACGCCACGCGCGCGAACGCACACACACGACACGTGCGCTCACACATGACAATGCAGGACATACACACGTTGTGCTGCGTGCAGACGCACGCACACACACACACAGATACCAGCACGGATGACAGCGTAAGCGAGTGAGCGCGCGAACGGGAAACCAGTGGTAGGTAGGAGGAGGATCTGTCCCCGTGCGCTGCCAAGTCAAGCTGAGTGTCCCTCACCGACGTGCCACCAGCAGCAGCGCGACCTAACAGCGACGATGACGACGTGCGGGCGCGTCTAGGCTTTGAACGCGAGCGTGTACAGCCAGCTGTAGCATCGTAACAACAGCTGCTGTGTCGCCAAGCCGACCTGCACCAGCGTCTTCTGTATGTTCTCTATCGAAAGACTTCCCCTGCAAGCGAAATCAGAACCAGGAGTTAGTTAATTCTCTATAGAAAGACTTCCTCTACAAGCAAGATCAGATCAGGCGTTAGTTAATTCTCTATCGAGAGACTTCCTCTACAAGGGCAAGGAAAATATACATAAAAACACTTCACCTGCATGGAAACTATCTACAGAGAGACGTTGCACATCGAACAAACATCAATCGGATGTTGGGTAATGTCGGTTGCCGACAAGAGTGCACAGAGAATTCCCCTTCTCAATTTCGCTTCACCTGGTACCCACCTCTTCTGCCAACACGACAGAACACTAAACAGAGAGCACGAACAAGTGTGCTGGCATCGCGCGTCGCCACGGCAACGCGGCAAGCTCGCGACGCGTTCTCCCCCGTGGTACTCACGTGAACACGTTCTGCTGCAGCCACGCGTTCGTCGCCACGGCAACCGCTGCCAGGTACTGCCAGAGGGCGCAGCCGTAGTGCCAGAGTAGTTCAGCACATTGCCACGTGTACAGCTGCACGCGCTCCCAGTGTCCGGGAAGCTTTAGTCTCACCTGCAGCAAGATGACGAGCAAAACGAATGGAAGTCACGATGTACTGTATACGCTGTATATTTCGCAGTGGATTAATTTTCGCAAATTTCGCGAACACGTCTCCGACCGCGAAAATAACAACACGTGAATAATTCATACCGAATAATTAATTATTCACCGACCGCGAAATTAACCACTCGAGAAATTGTCTGTCACGTCTGTATTCGCGAAAATATCTGTACCCGAAAAATATGGCGTATACAGTATGCCACGGATGCCTTCACACTTCAAGCATGGCCCTCTAGTTGTTCCCGCCACACTCACAGCTTTCACACTTACAGACCAAGCACGACCCAATAGTTGTTCCTCGCCACACTCACAGCTTTCACACTCACAGACCAAGCACGGCCCAATAGTGGTTCCCCGCTACACTCACAGCTTTCACACTCACAGACCAAGCACGGCCCAATAGTGGTTCCCCGCTACACTCACAGCTTTCACACTCACAGACCAAGCACGACCCAATAGTTGTTCCTCGCCACACTCACGGCTTTCACACTCACAAACCAAGCACGGCCCTCTACTTGTTCCCCGCTACACTCACGGCTTTCACACTCACAGACCAAGCATGGCCCTCTAGTTGTTCCCTGCTACACTCACGGCTTTCACACTCACAGACCAAGCACGACCCAATAGTTGTGCCCTACTACACTCACAGCTTTCACACTCACAGACCAAGCATGGCCCTCTAGTTGTTCCCTGCTACACTCACGGCTTTCACACTCACAGACCAAGCACGACCCAATAGTTGTTCCCTACTACACTCACGGCTTTCACACTCACAGACCAAGCATGGCCCTCTAGTTGTTCCCTGCTACACTCACGGCTTTCACACTCACAGACCAAGCACGACCCAATAGTTGTTCCCTACTACACTCACGGCTTTCACACTCACAGACCAAGCATGGCCCTCTAGTTGTTCCTCCCACACTCACGGCTTTCACACTCACAGACCAAGCACGACCCAATAGTTGTTCCCTACTACACTCACGGCTTTCACACTCACAGACCAAGCATGGCCCTCTAGTTGTTCCCTGCTACACTCACGGCTTTCACACTCACAGACCAAGCACGACCCAATAGTTGTTCCCTACTATACTCACAGCTTTCACACTCACAGACCAACAAGCATGGCCCTCTAGTTGTTCCCTGCTACACTCACGGCTTTCACACTCACAGACCAAGCACGACCCAATAGTTGTTCCCTATGGCTACACTCACAGCTTTCACACTCACAGACCAAGCACGACCCTCTAGTTGTTCCCTACTACACTCACTGCTTTCACACTCACAGACCAAGCATGGCCCTCTAGTTGTTCCCTACTACACTCACAGCTTTCACATTCACAGACCAAGCAAGGTCCTCTTAGTTGTTCCTCCCACACTCACGGCTTCCACACTCACAGACCAAGCATGGACCTCTAGTTGTTCCCCGCTAACACTCACGGCTTTTACACTCGCCAGACCAAGAAAGGTTCTGAAGTTGTTCATAAACAACAGTCACGCAGATTATTATTAGTGTGATTTGCTAACAAGCAAATTATATGCTGGGACGATGCTTACTAAAGATAGACTACAGGAGTTCTCTACTCACATCCTGCAGCTTCTTTCGCTCTCTCCCATTTTGCATGTCGCTCTCTGGCTCTCAAGCAAACCTCACCCTCTTATATATCACATTTACTGATCTCCCTCTTCTTTTTCTGTTTCTCTCTCCGTTTCACTCTGCTTCTCTTTTTCTTTCAATCACTCTCTATATCTCTCTCTCTCCCTCCCTCTCACTTTCCCCTTTTTTTTCTCACGGCGCACGCACTCATGCACACGACACACACATACAACACACATGCACGTACACGTGCACACATTCACACATGCACACACACGCACGCACGCCACGCACGCAGCACGCACGCACGCACACACACACACACACACACACATACACACACACACACACGCGCACGCGTGCAGACACGCACGCATGCATGCATGCATGCATGCACACGCACAGACACACACGCCACGCACGCACGCACGCACGCACGCGCACGCACGCACGCACGCACGCACGCATGCACACGCACAGACACACACGCACGCACGCACGCACGCACGCACGCACGCACGCACGCACGCATGCACGCACACCACACGTACAGACACACACGCATTCATTAGAACCTTCCACTGCAAAACCTCACCTGCTCTACAAAGGCGGCTAGATGTAGGTAGAGCCACTGTCGCGGCTCCTCCGTCTGCTCAACGACGCTAATCGAACGCATCTCGTAGTTCTCACCACTCAGCGTCAGGTAGGGGCGCTGAACGCACACGCGCGCAAGTAGTAGTACGGGATGTTGTGCTGTAGCCACCTGTGTGCACGAGACACGTCGATATGACTTACGTTATACCCCTGTATCATACACCTGACCTGTGCACATCATTTGTGAAACATATAGGGCCTCGTTACGTATCTATATGGTATCATAAAAACTATATAAATATTATTATATAAATATAACATATAATAATATACAGTACATATATAATGTTATTATAACTCTTAGATATAATCATATTCGCTTTAAACACATACATACTGTGGGCCATTGCTTATATATACATATATATGTACTGTACCAGGTCAAAAAAATACACCGGAGCGATGAACGATTCGCTCTTCAAACCTCTGAAATCGCTCCCGTGAGGCTCAAAATAGCTCCCGTAAAAATTTTGTGAGCATCTTTTTTCCCCACAGACTTTTGAAAAAGAGCTCCGCTGAAAATTTGTTTTCCCCCTGGTATGTACATATATGTATATATAGATATACATACACATATATACATATTGCATATTGTCATACACATACATATATGATTACATATATAGATATAAATCTGATATGAAAATTGAATCACATTCGATTCATCCATTAATCTCTCATATCTTTAGTAAATTCAGACACACAGAGTAGTTAGGGTTCGTGCGTGGGAGCGGCTGGCGGCCACCGCGGCTGGTCTGTTGTCTGCCTTACCGCCACGACTTCTCCGTGTATGCCTCAGTCCGCTGCCACACATGTTCAGCGACGGCTAGCACACCCCGTATCATGCAGCACTGCCCTCGTCCTGGACCCTGCAACCACACAATAAACAACAACAACAATAACATTAATAATAATAACAATAACAGCAGCAACTATATAATAATAATAATAATAATAATAATAATAATAACAATAGAAGAAAAAGAATAGAAGAAGAAGAAGTAGAAGAAGAAGAAGAATGTGCAGCAAATCGTGCCACTTCATAACAATTCCATAACATAGAACACTGTATGTCTTTCTCAATTAACGAATGAGAATTCAGTATTTGTCAAAATATTATTAGACACAGCATAGGAACCTGGTGTAAGATAAGTGTGTGAAAAGATAGCTCACATTCCACATGACCACAGCTTAACTAACTAGTACGATATATTTTGTCATATTTGTCAACAAATCAACAGAGTAACTATATGAGATACTACACTCAACTCTCCAAAACTTTCAATGCCTTCAAAACTTAATCTCACCTTAAACCGGACGATTTTTAAGTCTCAACACTATCCAAGACTGATGAAAGATATGCCTAGAATAGGCCCTTTATAACTGAACTTCACAGTAAACTTAACTAAATGGATGGTCCCGAGGGTGGTCAATATTGGGAGAGTTGACTTTATATACTATAGTCTGTAGCGTACAGCAATAACTATATACTCATACAGTGAAACGTGAGTTGCTTCCTCAACCATTTGTGTGATACCAGTGATTCATAAACTCGCGCGATAAATATAACATCAGTAGTACATTTGTGAGAGAATAGATGATTTCTTATAACATACTACACAATATATAGATACAGTGGACCCACGAGATACGAACGGCTCGACATACGAACGACCTCTCGTTGAACGTAATGTATTCGACAAACGAATAAAATTCAACATACGAATGTCTTACGAATCAGCCAATCATGGCATAGGCCTAGCGATGCTCTTTCGGTCAGAGTCAGTTTAAGTACGCGACTCATTGAATGTGGTTGTGCTCTTATGATTGCACTTGCTGTACGTAAATTGCTGTACGTCCTATATAAGGTTCGCAGATGAGAATTTTTCGTGATCTGTGGAACAAATTAAATTCATATCTCGGGGGTCCACTGTATACGTAGAACTATATACTTCCTATTGCTTCTGTAAAATGCTCTTGTCTAAACGACAAACAGTGTAGAGCCTCATATTCCCTCTCACCTTCCATGGTCTTCAGGCATGGATGGGATCTAACTAGTAACATAGGTGTGCCGTCACCCACCACATATCTCTCACACCTTCCACGGTCTTCAGGCATGGATGGGATCTAACTAGTAACATAGGTGGTGCCGTCACCCACACATATTCCCTCACACCTTCCACGGTCTTCAGGCATGGATGGATCTAACTAGTAACATAGATGATGCCGTCACCCACCACATATTCCCTCACACCTTCCACGGTCTTCAGCATGGATGGATCTAACTAGTAACATAGGTGGTGCCGTCACCCACCACATATTCCCTCACACCTTCCATGGTCTTCAGGCATGGATGGGATCTAACTAGTAACATAGGTGGTGCCGTCACCCACCACATATTCCCTCACACCTTCCATGGTCTTCAGGCATGGGATGGGATCTAACTAGTAACATAGGTGGTGCCGTCACCCACCACATATTCCCTCACACCTTCCACGGTCTTCAGGCATGGATGGGATCTAACTAGTAACATAGATAGTGCCGTCACCCACCACATATTCCCTCACACCTTCCACGCGCGTCTTCAGGCATGGATGGGATCTAACTAGTAACATAGATGATGCCGTCACCCACCAGATATTCCCTCACACCTTCCACGGTCTTCAGGCACGGATGGGATCTAACTAGTAACATAGGTGGTGCCGTCACCCACCACATATTCCCTCACACCTTCCACAGTCTTCAGGCATGGATGGGATCTAACTAGTATGGTGCTGTCCCTCACCTTTGAAGCCGGAGTGTTGGTGCACGTCGTATACGATAACGCCGCCCAGTGCAGCGAGGACGAGCAGCAGCAAGAACTTGGGGAACTTCCACCCGGACATCTTCGCCATCAGCTCCTACAACAAGCAATCAGAAGCAATGTCGGTGATGAGCCACAGCCACAGCAACAGCTCACCCTACATAGAGTAAGGATATGTAGACATGAGACAGAGCAATGTCGCAGCAACAGCTCACCCTCCATAGAGATAGGATATGTAGACTGTAGACATGAGACAGAAGCAATGTCGCAGCAACAGCTCACCCTACATAGAGTTAAGGATATGTAGACTGTAGACATGAGACAGAAGCAATGTCGCAGCAACAGCTCACCCTACATAGAGCAAGGATATGTAGACTGTAGACATGAGACAGAAGCAATGTCGCAGCAACAGCTCACCCTACATAGAGTAAGGATATGTAGACTGTAGACATGAGACAGAAGCAATGTCGCAGCAACAGCTCACCCTACATAGAGTAAGGATATGTAGACTGTAGACATGAGACAGAAGCAATGTCGCAGCAACAGCTCACCCTACATAGAGCAAGGATATGTAGACATGAGACAGAAGCAATGTCACAGCAACAGCTCACCCTACATAGAGTAAGGATATGTAGACATGAGACAGAAGCAATGTCACAGCAACAGCTCACCCTACATAGAGTAAGGATATGTAGACATGAGACAGAAGCAATGTCCCAGCAACAGCTCACCCTACATAGAGCAAGGATATGTAGACATGAGACAGAAGCAATGTCACAGCAACAGCTCACCCTACATAGAGCAAGGATATGTAGACATGAGACAGAGAGCACACATTCTGTTCAACATGTGACAGGTTTTATATACTGTGGAGCTGCAACTGGGGCTCAAATGTGAGATGAAGTTATCTGCAGGCCAAACTCAGGCTGAACAGGTCTCAGCAAATGCAAAAACTAAGAATGTTGAAACACATACCGGCCACTTGGCTTTCAACTGGGAAAAGCGAATGAGGTAGACTTTTTGATAGAATGAATTTTTTTATTTTTTATTTTTTAGTTTTAAATTTAGATACCAGCGAAACGTAAAATTATTTCATATGACTCAAGTAAATTAGCAAACTTAAAACCTATATCTAACTAGAGTCAAACAAGCCTAACAGAATGCAGTTGGAATGTACTATGGACACGGAATGCATTTAAATATATAAAACAGCATACAAGCATATAAACCTGAAAGCAAACTTTTGTGCAGCTAACACTAAAACGTATTTAAACTTTCTACTAATATTATACGTTCACCCTTTTATTCTCGGTTATTTCTACAATACTTACAGTAACCTACGAGTTAAATGTGTGACAGTGACAGCAGTAAGAGCGGCTACGAAGTCGGACTCCATGACTGCTTAGTCAGCCGCTGACATCCTGTGGGCGTTACCAAACTGATACCTACTCTGATAAGTTGGCACAAGGCGTACTGGGCCGGGCGGGGCATATACATTCACATACACACATGCACGGGTCAGCACAATGAGGAAACGTAAGCGGTCCCTACTCTGCTTTCACTACCCTGTCTTCTCCTCTCATGTTCTCTACTT